CCATTTATACTGTATCCTGATTCAGCCTGGCCCAATATCCAGATTGTCCTTGCACCAGCAGATGCTGTGGCCTAGTCAGAGACCCCCCGAGAACTGCTACCAGGCCTACTTTGAGACTCTTACTTTCACTGATGGGTGCTGCAGCCAAGCCTGGCCCAGCCTGCCCTGAGTCGCAGTTTGTACCTAAAAGTGCTGTGGCTTAATCTCCATCTCCTTTTTCTTTCTTTCTTTTTTTTTTTTTTTAAGATTTAGGGTTTTTTTTTTATATATATATATTGGAAAGGTAAATTTACAGAAGAGAGACAGAGAGCTATGAGAATACACCCTTGCTAGGTGGGGGATGGAGTGGGGGTTGCATTCGGTCTGGATATAGCTGCAGTATCCCTTGGTACAAGTGTGAACTGGGGCTGTTCGCACCTAGCCGGACTAGACTAAAGCACCATCTGGTGCTCTGGAGAACTAGCATAGATGTAGGAAGGACTAGGCTAGATCTTTGCCCCTGCTGAGCCATATGTGAGCAGTGTCCAGGTATGGACGAGCCTTGGCTGGCCTGAAACATCCAACAGTAAGGACCAGAATGGGTTGAAGGCCAGTCAGGAAAGGCCACTGTTGTTGCCAGGACAGGAGGTAAACTAAGTAGGGCTGGCCTGTGGACCCACCGGTATGTGCAAGAACTGCCATAGGAAGAGATTCTGATGGAGGAACTTGGGAAACTCCTTTGTCAGGACACAGTCCCTGCAGGTGACCGCAAGAACCACAATAGGGAGCAGCCCAGACCAGGCCAGAGAAAGATATCCACCAGCATACATTTGCCATAGGTTAGGGGCAGACCAGGCTGGATCAGTTCACATCACCCACTGGCAAATCCGAGCACCGGAACAGAGTGTAGGTCGGGCCAGGTTCAGTCGCGACACATACCAGTACACATTACAGCTGGGATTGAGTGCCTGCTGGGCTGGGCTAGGCTGTAACCCTCACCAGCGTCAGCTGGAATTGGGGGTGGGCTGGGCCGGGCTAGGCTACAACACTCACTGGAAAACGCCAAGGTGAGGTGGACCATGCCAGAATGGGCCGCAGCATCCAATCAGCGCACATGAGAACCAGGGAGGAAAGGATTAAAGCCAGTGGGGGGATTGTGGAGGGGGAATGCTGGACAGCCACTCCCACTGGAGAATGTGAGCTGGGATGGGGGTAGACCAGATCAGGCAGGGCTACAACACCTGTGGGCTTCATATGAACTAGATCAAGGAAAAGCCAGGCTGGGCTGAATGTTCCTACTGGTGTAAGCATAAATTAGAGTGGGTGAGGAGGGTTGGTTGGGCTTTGCTGCAGCATCAGCTGGCAGAGGCTGGCACTGAGGGCTAATTCTGTCAAGTTAAACTGCAGAACCCCTTGGAGAGTGCATAATCTGGGAGTGGGAGTGGCCTAGAAGGGGGATAAGGGGCACCTCACTCTTGGGTTACCACTCCCACTGGAGAGCATGAAAACCAGGACTAGGGCAGAGGTGACTAGACAGAACAGCACACACCAGTATGTGTGTGGGCTGGATAGTAGGGCAGGTTGGATTGAACTAGGCTTCAATGCCCATTGACATGTACAAGAGCTAAATGGGATGTGGGACAGCCTGAACAAGTCAGCAGTACATTGTGGCAAGCATGGGAACCAGGGTAGGGGCCAGGCCTGGAGGGGGTTATGGGGAGTCGCCTTGACTGGTTTGTGTGAGGGCCAAGTATGAAATGGGCAGAATCAGGCTGGGCTGTAACACCCATTGGTTCGCATGGAAGACAGGGCTGTAAACAGACCTGCCCCAGCAATTGCAACCACCAGCATATGCATTGGTGCAACGGACTATGTCGGATCCTGTACTGGCAAACACATACAAGAATCAGGTCTGGGATCACCTTGGACCAAGTTTCTTTGGAGATTCCTCCAACCGAACCACTGAGCTCAGAACCCCAACCATGAAGAGACTATGTCAGCCAGTGGATTCTGAAGAAAGTTCATCATGCTTAGAGCGGCGAGATTGGCAGCAATTCAGAACTGTTGAACTATCAAAACTGCATGAGCAGGACCCTCGGAGCATGCCTCACATTGGGGAACTGGGATGGGTGGGAGACTGGGTGGGGCTTTTCACTTTAACTCCCTTACCCCGGATACATAAAATAATAATTATAATATTAATATGGAAACAATGGTCTTACCCACTTTCCTGTAGACATTGAACCTTTGTGCCCTAATCAACTATGTAGTGATTATTAAAATAAAAGAATTTTTAAAAAACTCAATTGAAAATATGAACTTATTCCTGACAGTGTCAATGTTGAGATTTTGTTTTGTGTAAATAGATGGACTTAATTGATTTTTTAAAATTATAACAGGCAAGTTTTTTACAGTATATTTGTAGAGCAACTCAGTCAGAAATGTTTACTATGACTTTTGTCATTGCTACAGCTCCTTACTGCTATTAGTTATACAACTTTATTAGCTTGAATGTAAGAGATTAGTTTAAGTCATTTCCAATCCTTAGTACTGTTATGATTGAGTTTTGATTTTGACTAATTCCTTTCTTTCCTTTTCATATGTGATTAATTCTATTCATTTTGTTGTAAAGTATTATTAGAGGTGTTTTAGTGTGTTCATACACTGAATTTTTTGGTTAAAACATTCGTTGGTTATATTGCTGTGTTTTCAGTTCTTGGAAAGAAAATTGTTCAGCTTCATCTTCCCTTACAAATAAATCTAGTATTCTATCATGCGATAAAATTTTTCTTCTGGAAGTGTCCAGCTATTTTAAAGAAGCCAAGCAAGTAATCTGGGATATGGAATAAAGTCTGAAATGAGATGCTAAATTAATCATGCTGAAACCTTGCAAATGAGTCCGCCTACTGCCCTGCCTCAGCAAGGTTTTTTGTTGTTGTTGTTTGCTTTTTTTTTTTTTTTTTAATCTTCCATCTTGTTTTATTCCCCAGATGATGTCAATGGCTTGGCTGAAGCCAGCAGCTTCTTCCAGATCTTCTCTGTGAGTGGCAGGGCCCCAAGCACTTGGGTCATCTCCTATTGTTCCCATGTGCATTCACAGAGAGCTGGATTAGAAGTGAAGCAGCTGGGACACGAATTGATACCCATCTGGGATGATAGCATTGCAGTGGCTTCACTTTCTTTTTTTTTAATTTATTTTTATTAAAAAAAATTTTTTTATTACATTGCATCATGAGACACAGTTTTACAGGCACTAGGATTCCCCCCTCCCCTCCCCTCCCCAAAACCCGCTTCCTCCCCCCCCCATGGTGGATTCTTCCATCTTGTTGCATTACCACAGATCAAATTCAATTGAGATTTTTTTTTTCCTTGCAAGCATCTACAAAACATAGAGTTCAGCGTCTTATTGTGCAGATAAGTTCAACAGTTTCATGGGGAGACAGTTTCTGGTCTGAAGGTACAGCCGAAAGAGTATCATCCCAATCAATTGAAAGCCCCGACATTACATCAGTAACAATTTATACCGTACCAGAATTAGTTGATATGATATTGTGTAACCAGCATGTTCAAAGAGAGAGAGAAAACAACAACAACAACAAAAAGAGTACAAGTTCTGAACCACATCCTATGACTTCTACATTGACATTACAATTATTAGTTTATATACAGCTGGGTTCTATACACCTTAAAATGGCTATAGATTACTATTCAGCTGTCTCATGTCTACTTTAATTTTAGTATTTAGCAGTTCATAGTGTTGAGCAGTGGCTTCACTTTCTATCCAAACATCTCCCCATTATTGACTTATTTTGGAAGTCAGAGGTAGAGAGATAGCATGTGCGTTTCCCTCAGCTGCTTTACTCCACAGGTGGTCACGCAGATGATGCTGGGCCAGGTTGAAGCCAGGAGCCAGGAGCTTCACCCATATTTCCTACATAGGAAGAAGAGACACTTTGACAACCTTCTGCTGCCTTTTCTAGAATATCAACAGGGAGGTGGATTCTAAGTGGAGTAGCTGGAAAATGACTCTTGCAAATAGGGAATATTGGCATTCAGGCAACAGCTCTACCCATTACACCACAACACCAACTCCAAGTTCAGCACTCTTGACAGTGCTGTATGAGCTGGCCTTTGCTATGATAGAAATCAACACAGCTTGCAAGGTAGCACCTCAGTAACCTTGGCAAAGTACTCTAAAAAGAAATGCTATCAGCTTGTCTCAGCTAGCAGAGATGACAACATGAGAAGTCTTGTCATAAAATCATTTTTCTTTCTAAATTTACCAGATATCTTAGTTCCCAGTGCACATAATTCCATTAAAATTTTATTTGTACCAAATTTCTTAACATGGTGTTCAGCACATAATAGATATTCAATAACTATTTGTTGAATACATGAAGGGCATAATACTTAATACATAATAATTATAATTGGCTTTGAAACTAAATAAGTTTGATCAGTTGTACATGAGTATGATACATTGGTCTGGTGACAGAAAACAATAAAGATCGTAGGGCATTGTTCACCTCAGTTTAGCTCTATGTGTTATTTATATCCTGACAGGGCGTCATAGATAATTTATAAATTATTTTTTGCATGAGAAATGTATCCAAGAAAGAAACTGTGTTTTTAGGCTATGTTTAGCAGAGATGAACACAATCTTACTTTAATCTCAATTCCACCAGTAATGAGTATCTGTAAAGAATACTATACTCATGAATTTGATTTAACTAAGTTTGTCACTGAGCATGCATTAAATATATGTTAATTTAAGATTATAGGGAATATAGAAGAATTATGAGGATAATTAAAAGTCTCCATAATTACAAGAAAAGGTATGGCCACTTTTAAAATTTTGTACTGCATTTTTGTTTTGAAAGTGAATTTAGCTAGTTTATCATTGTAACGTATTTATCTTTGGTGTATGCTTTTTACATTTTGTAGATGACTCATGATTAAAATCACCTATGATTCTGAATATCTGATTAAGTCAATTGTATCCCTTTGTGTCTTTAAAACAGATTGGAAAAGTTCTGAAGGGAAGATGCCGAAAACCTTCACTGACAGATGGGAAAGTCAGATGTGGAGAGACAAAAAGTATCATGTAACAGATCACCTGCATTACAGCCAAGTTTATCCTGAAAGCATTCCACGAAAATTTCTTTTTGAACATAGGAATTTTCTTACTCAGCAGTATAATTCTCAGCCCTCAAAATACATACCACCAGCAGAAAGGCCCCCCAAACTTGAAGATTTTAAGAGTGCACGAAGTCTTGGACATTTTGAAATAACCATCCTAGGTAAGTCAACTATTTTTCTCTTTGAATAATATTAATTTAACATACTTTAAACATGTAGTCAAGTTTGCTTTAAAAAGAATTAACCTCCAGATGAGCTGTTATTTGACCAAAACAAGAGGAATAGAGCTCTCATTCTAGAGTAAACATTAGCAAGTGCTTAGAAAATATTTAGAAAAGAATAAAAGCTAAGGAAACTTTCCTGACCATCTGACTACCATGCTTTTAAATTAAGATCAGTTCTGTTCTCTCTCAGTTACTGTTTTTTTTTCTTTAACCCATATTCTTTGCTTATTTTTCAGTGCATTGAAGGGTAAAGTGTAATAGGAAACAGCTTCAACACAAAAGCTCTGTTTATTTCTGAACAAAATAAATTTCTGAAGTAACTCAGACTGAACAAAAAAGATGATTGAAAAGGTTTCCATCTCTGATCATGGAAAATAAGCTAACTATAGGATTAGAAAAACGTCAAAAAAAATTTTAATTCAATTCATTTTTATTTGTGTCCTTTTTCAAAAAAATTTACTTGAAAAGCAGTTAGAGAGAGGGGGAAGGAAAAGAGGCTTTGTATCCACTGGTTCACTCCCCAAATGGCCACAATGGCCACAGCTAGTTAGATCTGAAGTCCGGAGTCAAGAGCTTCTTCTGTGTCTCCCATGTGGGTGCAGGCCATCCTCCACTGCTGTCCCAGCTACATTAGGAAGGAGCTGGATCAGAAGCAAAGTAGCCAGGACCTGCTACACCACAGCACTGGTCCCTGTTTCTAATAAATAAAAAATGGCCATAAAATAGCATCTTAGGTTTGGACATGTGGTCCAGCTCTTAAGATGCCGCTTCAAGCACCACATCCCATACTGGAAAGCCTGGAGTCCAATCTCTGCTTCCAATTTTAGCATCCTGTACCCTAGGAGACAGAAGGTGACAGTTCAGGAGGTTATGCTCCCCTCATCATGTGGGAGACCTAGATCGACTTCCAGGATCCTCTCCAGCTTGGCACAGTCTTGGCTTTTATGGGCATTTGAGGAGTGAACCGTTGGATGATAGAACTGTCTCTGTGCCATGTGTGTGTGTTTCACAGCCTGTCAAATAAAATGGAAATAAATCAATTGAAAAATTACCTACTTCACCACACATACATAAATGTTTATTGTATGAGTTTCCACTGACTCTTACAGAATCACAGACCAAAGTTTTAAGTGCTTTTCCTGCATTCAATTATTTGATCTTCAAGTAGTTTATCTACCTTAGTTTTATATCTAGGAAACAAAGTTCATAGCATTATTTCACATACGTCACAAAATGCTAACCATGGAAATGAGGACTTGATTAGACACAGAAATTGATTCTTCTTCTTCCTTTTGCACTGATCCACTGAGACAGATTGACTAAGACATGTCAGCTGTCTCGCACATAATTGTAAACTTCCACAGCTTTGGCTCTGAATCAGCCAAAAGCAAATGCGAAGGAGGTAAATTTACCAGTCTGCTCATGAGCTCAGATAAATTAATGCTATTTTTATATAAATTTTAGATCTGGTTTTCAAAGATGTATTACAGGATCAAATGACAGTGAAAGCAAGCTGTTTATGAATAAAACACAACATGTTGAAGGAAGTAGAAAACGTAGGTGTTACTAGGTACCTGCACATAGCCAAATTACTACCATTTGTCAGTAATCTTCCCTAAGCTGTCTGGCAAGAAGGGAGAAACGAGTGGGTTTTTGTTGTTATAATTCTGATGGAATACTCAGTTTGGGAGCTGAAAACCTTGTGTCTAGCTAGCCTCGCTAAAAGCCAGGACATTAAAAATCAGGTCTCCTGAGATTAAACACATCTTTTGTTGCAGAGAAAACAAGCACTCATGTAAGAATTTCATGTTTTTTCTTTAAGCAAAATTCAAGTCTGAACTTACTTTATGAAATTATTATATAAATAACAAAATAATGAAAGGGGTGAGACCTTCAATTGTAGTTTTCTTTTTAAAAATATGAATATATTTTCAGATAATTGATTCCTGCCATGTCAACACTATAATGTACATAAGTAGTATAATCATTAGTTATGTCTTGATAACATAACATTTGTTATATAAAAGAACATTTGTTATATAATCCAGGTACTGTTATGATTTAACTTAATATATGTATATAATATAGAAAATGAAGGTAATAATACTTAATCAAGTAATTCTCACATTACATTTGTGGGATGGGTAGCCCACCTTAAGGAGACTGCCCATACTCCTTGGCCTTCTGGTACATACAAGTAGCCCATTCAGTCTCCTGTCCCTCCTACATGATTCTTGTTGCTACACATAGAGTACCACTGGCAGGAGTGCATCCTATCCAACAGGAGTGTTAAGAGTCAAATAAAAGTTGAAAGCTGTTATTTTCTAAGTAGTATTGGTTAAAATGAGTAGTACTGGTTAAGATGAGAGCTGATTGTGAAATGTTAAAGTGGTACATTTGACATATATTTTAGGAAAATATGAACCCAGAAGGTTTTATATAACCAAATATTTTAAACATGAACACCAGCAGTGAACTAAGAGAGGATTTTATCTCTTCCTAAGATACTATTTATTGAAATATAGAGTCTGAAAACTAAAAGATGACTTTACTTATATCCTGTACAAGGTAGAATGCTTGTTCTATAAAAGTCCAAATAGTGTTTAAGGTTTTCCAGGTCATTTAATTTCTGTTGCAACTATTCAGGTTACTGTTTTGGTGTGAAAGCAGCCATAGATCAAATGTTAATGAGTCACATGTCTGTTTGAATAAAAAGTTTATACTTATACTGGAACTTAGATTTCATTATTATCATGTATTATAAAATACTGTTCTTTTGACTTCTTAACTGTTTAGAAATGGCATTCTTACCTCATGAAATATACAAAAAACAAGCACAGGCTGGATTTGGCCCTCAAGGTCAGAGTTTTTTGACCTCTCTTCTAGGCCTCTGTTCATAGTTAAGACTGCCTAGAATAATCCAAGCTGATAAGTCTATATAATGTTTAAAGCTCTCCTAGCACAGAGATTGTTTCATGTTGATACTGTCTTCTGGTAAATTATTATCCCTCTGCAGTACCTTATTATTCCTTAGAGGGCCTGGTGATTATGAAATGCCTTATTCTTGGCGCTACAAAGCTTATTTGAACTGTAATCTTGTTACTTTATCATTTGCTCTGACTGGTACAGGGTGAATCATTACTGAAAACATTGAGTACAATTATTATTCAGCCTTCCCCAAGTTATAATGCCTCTCAATAATCAGTGGGTACCATGACAATATCCAAAATCAATCCCCCAATGCTGGTTATTATCTTAACATCCTTGTTATTCCATCTTGCTCACCTCAAATCAATTGATTGTAAGCCACTAAAACTTCAGCATATTGCCTACAATGTGCGTGCACACACTATAATGAGAATATATTGATGTGAGATAACTAAGTTTTCAGTGCCCTTAGCCCATCTGTACACTTGAAATTTCTTGATCTATCTTTTCCAAATCTAACAATTGTTTCTTCCCAGCTGTAGATAGCAACTTAGAGTGCCTTGTACCTAGGCAAATGTTACACTGCTAGAAGCAAAAGCAGCCAGTAGCTGGCGGCCATTCTGGACCTGGTTAATGCCACTTCTGTTAACCATAGCAGTGTGCGCCAGTATGGCTGCCCATTCTATTTTTTAAGATATAGTGAGGAAAGGGACAGAGTCCCTGCTATGCCACTGTGCCACCATAGGCACACACCAGCCAGGGCCACTCTACTGCCATTACCTCCACCACATCACTAGGGACTGGGGATGGGTTAGAGTAGTAGCCACTGAGGGCTTGTTTGACATATATAAAATCATTTCTGGAGGCTTCCATGGTCTGGACTACTGCATCCACAGATAATCAAGGAAGCTGAGATAGGGATGGATAGAAGGGGGAATCTAGAGGGCTTCCCTGGGTCAAGCCAAAGCACCCACCCGCCTGCACAAGAGCTGGGGCTGGAGGCAAAATGGCCAGGCTAAGTTGCAGTACTCACCAGCACCAAGGAAAACCATGTTTGAGTGCAGATCTGGTAGGGGATCTTTGGAGACGCCCCTGCTAGACTGTAGCACCTGCCAGCACATGCTAGAGCCGGTGCAGAGGGTAGACTGAGCCTGACCTTTCGCCAGCTGGCACAGACGAGTTAAGGTCTCAAGCTCTCCCAGAGGTTTCTTAATGGCGCCCCAGCTAGACCACTGTGTTTTATGCCTGACCTCCAGTTAAACCATATAGGCATGTGGTCCAATCCTGGAGCACATGTTGCAGGACTGGGCCACTTCAGTTGCTGACTCTTATGCAAGAATGGAAAGCATACCCAGATGAACACAAAAGAAAAGACAGGGCCTGGCACAATAGCCTAGTGGCTAATTCCTTACCTTCCACTCCCAGGATCCCACAAAAGCACTGGTTCTTGTCCTGGGTGCTCCACTTCCCATCCAGCTCCCTATTTATGGTCTAGGAAAGCAGTAGAGAGTGGCCCCTAAAGCCTTGGAACCCTGTAAACATGTGAAAGAACGAGAAGAAGCTCCTAGCTACTGGCTTCAGATCAGCTCAACTCCAATCATTGCGGCCACTTGGGGGGTGAAACCAATGAACGGAAGTTCTTTCTCTCTTTTTCTCTGTGTCTGCTCCCTGTAAATCTGCCTTTCAATAAAAATAAATAAATCTTAAAAACAGCAAGCTCATCTAAACTAACTGAAGACTTCAAGTACCTCATCAAAAATGGAAAGACAGTTTTAACAACACTATAGACTAGGCTCTACAACAAGCACCTAGGTCTGTGGGCACACTGAGGTAGACATGGACAGCCAACTACTCTTAAAATTTCTCACCCCTGGTGTAACGAAGCCAACAACTTCTCATAACAATCACTCAGGTAACACCCTTGGAACATTCTTCTCCACATAGGATTCCAAACGACTGCATCCCTGGGCACTGTATGACAGCAAGGAGCTGCACATTTTATTCCCATCCCATCCTAATTGGAATTGGAGGCCCACATGGGTCTACAAACTCCTCACTTTTGTAACTAATATTAAAATTTTAAATAAATGCTCAGTATCACAAGCCCTCAGGAAAATGCAGCTCAAGAACACAACTATCATTCTGATTAGGGGCAGCTGTTAAAAAAAAAAAAAAGGAAAAATAGCTAATAATGGTTTGGTTGTATAGAATGAAACCCTACCAGAATGCTGGTAGTAATGCAACTTAGTAATAGTCATTATGGGAAATGTTATATATCCCTCAAAACTAAAAATAGAACCATATTACCCAATATGAAATTACATTGACATATGAAAAAGACAAAACTCTTTATAGCACTATTCATAATACCCAAGATAGGGAATTAAACTAGATTTCATCAATGGATGACCTAGATGCGAAATAGAATATAATTCAGCCAACGAAAGAAGTGATTTGCTGACATTTGTAACAAAATGGATGGAATTGGAGATCATTATTTTAAGTGAAATAATCACACAAATATATCATCTCATGTGTAAGCTTATATATACCCACACATATAGTTTATACAAATCAAAAATAGTGCTTACTTGAGGCTAGTCAAGTGGACTGCTCATGCATCTGGAAAGCCATGAACAACATAGCAAAGGGAAAACACACAATAATTCTCCAGTAACCCTAATGTTGGGCCTGCTAAACTGATGTGAGAACTTTGCATACTTCTGTGCATAATAGGCTACTCCAATTTCAGTTCCCTGGTTGGTTCACGTAACCTGTCTCATTATCATGCACACAGACCAATGGGTTCTGACGTTCAACAGAACAGTATTATAGTGCAAGAGACGGAAAGTAGAATGGTTCTAGGGGCTGCTATCATGGCTTACCAGCCTAATCCTCCACCTTCAAGCACCATCATCCCATATGGTCATCAATTCTTGTTGTGACTGCTCCATTTCTGATCCAGCACCCTACTTAGGACCAGTGAAAGCAGGAGCAGATGGCCTAAGCCCTTGGGCCCCTGCACCCATGTGGCAGACCCAAAAGAGGTTCCTGGCATGATATTGGCTCAGCTCCAACCATTGCAACCATTTGGGGAGTGAACCAGAAAATGGAAGATCAGTCTCTGTCTCTCCTTCTCTCTGTAAATTTGCCTTTCCAATATAATTGGTTTATTCATTGGGTTTCTACAGAAATATGGTACAATACCCCATAACATGTGTATATATATATAATGTTTATCCTAACATTTTTAATTAAATTAATAACATATCTTAGCATTAAGCTTAATGTTATAATCAAAGGAATAATGGATGTCACATGCAGGTCAAACCAGTGTGTGTGGCGCCAACATCCACATGGATGCTGGTTCGTGCCTTGGTAGTTGCACTTAATCCAGCTCCCCTCAGATGGACTGGGAAAAGCAACAACAGATTGCCCAAGGGTTTGAGCCCCTGGAAGGCAGTCCCAACTCCTCACTTTGGCCTTGGCCAACCCTGTCTGTTTTGGTCAGCTGGGGAGTGAACCAATGGATGGAATATCTCTGTCTGTGTATATGTGTTTCTCCTCTCTCTGTGCCTGCAAGTTTCAAATAAATAAAATTTTTTTTAATTAAGAAAATCGGTTTCTGGGGTGCACATTCACAGGAATTTTGTGGTGATGTGTTTTTTTTAAGATTTATTTTGTTTGAAAGGCAAAATTACAGAGAAGGAGAGATAGATATATTCCATCTGCTGGTTCGTTCCCCAAATGGCCTCAACAGCTGGAGCTCTGCGGGTCTGAAGCCAGGAGTTTCTCCCTCATTGGTGCAGTGGCCCAAGCACTTGAGTCATCCTTAGCTGCGTTCCTAGGTCATTAGCAAAAAGCTGGATCAGTGGTGAAGCAGCCGGAGTAAGAACCTGTACCCCTATGGGATGCTGACATTGCAGGTGGAAGCTTAGCCTACAGCACCATGGTGGTGTCCCTGAACTTTGTTTTCATTTGAAAGGCAGAGTTGCAGAGGAAAGAGACAGATCTTCCATCTGTTGGTTCACTTACCAAATGGCCTCAACAGCTGGAAGTGAACCGGTTTGAAACCAAAAACCAGAAACTCCCCAGGTCACCTATGTAGCTACAGGGGCCAAAGGACTTTGGCCATCCTCTGCTGCTTTCCCAGGCCATAAATAGGGAGGTGGATGGGAAGTGCAGCAGCAGGGAATTTAACTGTACCCATATGGAATGTGGGCACTGCAGACAGAGACTTAGCCTACTTCACCTTGGAGCTGAGCTCTACTACAACCTTTTATATGCTTAACGAAGTGTGTGTGTGTGGAGCTCATTTTGTATATTTGACAACAGGTGAGACCTAGTAACCACCCTCTCTTACTTGCTTAACTCAAATATACTTAGGTCGAAGAAGTAATAACGGAACCCATAGCCTTTTCTGAATTCTCCTCCTTAGAAGACCTATAAAGAATGGGCCAGGAAAACACACACACGCTCTCTCTCTCTCTCATCAGACTTGATAGTAAAATCCCAACCTTTCTTCATTATGGAAACCATTTAAGGGTTAATTGTAACCATAGTGATAGATACCACTGAAGTATGTTTGCATTTTAAACCAATAGAGCAACATTTTTAAGTTGAGTTTAGTCCCCAGTTTTGTAACACGGGTTCTTCCAGATCTGAAACTATTTAGCACCTTTTAGGACCAAACCAACAAAAAATTAACCTTATTAGCAGCATGTACTAACCCACTGAACTTCAGATAACGGGATTTTTCTCCAACAGGTTTAAACCATGACATAGCGATTGATGTCGCATTCCTCCCCATGTATTCTCCAGAAGATGTCCGAACATCTCAAATAGACACGTTGCTAACTTGCATGAATTACAGCTGTGTCTATCCACAGACAGTAACTGACATTGACCAATGTTCAGATCCAGAAGCTCTTGCAGGTGAGCTTATCTCAGTGTTCTGTTTGTTCATTCAGAAAAGAATAATAACATAATAATCTTCACCTTCATATGTTATTGTGTAAACACTGTTAGCCTTGGGATTTACTATTGCTAAATTAAAAGGTTACATATTAAATGTACCCAAAGACGTATTGAGAATATGTCTTAAATAAATTGAATGGCTTTTTTCGATTCTAGGCAGGTAGGATCTTAAAGCACAATTCTAAGTGTAATTCTGTCATTAAAGCTAAGTGGATTAATAAAGCATTGCAGATTTCTACTATTTTCTCCTAATTCAAGCATAACCATTTGTTTACCTATCCCTTAAAATTGCATGGAATTACAATACCTCCATAGTATACTATTTTCTTTCAAAAATGTATAATTATTCAAGGGATGTTTTATAAATTCCTTGAGTACTTCTAGAAGTTGTGTAATACCAGTAGTGAGATATTTCAAGCAACTAATTGTTTAGGCTGCTGCATAATATACCAAATGTTGAATTATTTCTATATACCTTTAATATTATTGGTCTCATTTAATTAGCCTATTCACTATATGCTGTCATTTCTGTTACAAAAAGCATGTGGTAAAATTTCTAGTAGTTTTCATTGAACCAATCAGGATGTTACATTTTAAAACAACTTTTAAGGAAAAAAAAATGTTATTTTAAGATTGTGTAGTGGGCCTTCCTATGCTGATAAAACTCTTAAGTGGTTCCTGTTTACAAATAAGTCTTAGGAATTGTACCTGATGACGAAGTAACTTTTGGCAGCAATGGTTGCTGCAAATTAGATGCTTGAGTATCTAACTGTATAATAGATCAATTTTTTTTTCTTTGTCCTACAGTTCATTTTCAGAAATGTCATGCTAGTTGACAATAGAAAGTATTGCAGCTTCTATTAGACTTTAAATAATTGCAAATTCTTTTAAGTAGTGCCCTGGTATATGTTTTAAGTTTTTCTGCACATGAGTTTTCAGTTCATATGATATTCATTTTTGCTATATCTTCTGCTGTGTACATGTGCTATAAAATGCACATGTTAATTTGAACATTGATATGATATAGAAAATTACTGAGTAAATGTGAAAGTTCCCTTCCTTACCATAGCAGATTTATTTCCTTCCACCAGCCTGTGCCCTCAAGATAACCAAAATTCTTTGAACCTTTTAAGAAGAAATTATGTTTGCATTTAGCAGTATATATTCTCTTTCTCTCCTTATGAAACACATACAAATGGATTTCAGAAACATACAAAAATTGATTTATTAGAAATATATAATCAGCTTTTCCCTTTTGTTGATATACCTTGGACATCTTTCATATTAGTATATAGAGAGTTCCTTCATTATTTTTAATAAGTATAAAGAATTCCACTGTGTGACTGTACCAAATTTAATCAGTGCCCTACTGATGGATATTTACGTTATTTCCAAATATTTTGGCTGTTCACAACAGAACTGCAGTGAGTATCCATATACGTGTGTGTGCCTCTTTACTCACACTGTGTAAATACTAAGTGTTGATGATCTTATCAATCTTTGGCTGATTAATAAATAGTAAAATAGCATTATTTTTATTTCCACTTAATTATCTTTAAAAAATCGGCATGTGTTTGTTGACCATTTATAGATATATTCTTTATATGAACTTTCTACCCTAACTTTATTTCCTTTCTTATTATTTTTGCATATTAAATGGACTATCTTTTATCATGTGTTACAAACACTTTTACTCAAGTTTACATATACTCAATAAAAGTTTTGCTATCTTAAATAATTTTAATTTTATGAATTTAAATGCATCAGTCTTATTTAGGTGCTGCTGATTTTGTGCCATACTTAGAAATACAGCACTAGTTCAAGAGTATTTTTTATTTGCTAGTTTTTGTTCTGATAGTTTTTATGAATTCATTATTTGCATATTTTATTATGATAAAATATGCATAATGAACAATTGATTTTTGAAACCATTTGAAACTTCCTATTCAGCAATATTACAGACATTCATGGTATTGTCCTATCATTACCAATAACTATTTCTGCAACCTTTTAATCATTCCGAACAGAGTCTGTATCTCTTAAAAATAGTGTCTATGCATTTGCCTATTTTTGAGTTTATGATATTCCATAGTTTAGCCAATTTGCATTCAAGACTACCATAGAAATGTAGCAAATTAGTCCTGTCAATTATCCATAAATATTCCTATTTTTTTCTTTTGGATTGTTTTAGTACTTTTAAAGGGAGATTTTCTTCTTTCACATTCTTTGATTATGGTGATTATTATTTTCTGCTTCTGTGTGTAGCACATCCTTAAGTATCATTTGTAAGGCTGGATGAGTGGTGACAAATTCATTGAATTTTTTGCTTCTTTTCAAATGGCTTTATTTCACCCTCAATTATAAATGAGAGGTTTGCTGGTTGCAGTATTCTGGGTTTGCAGTTTCTTTTAGGACCTGGACTATATCTCTGAACTCTATACTAACCTGTAAGATTTCTGATGAGAAATCAGCTATTAGTCTAATTGGGGATTCTCTGAAGATAATCTGGCATTTCTCTCTTGCATATTTTAAAATCTTCTCTGTGTTTTACTTATTGGAAGTTTGACTCTAATAAGTTGTGATGAAGATCATTTCTGATAATGCTTATTCAGAGTTTTATGTACTTCCTATATCTGGATGTCCCTTTCTCCACATTAGGGAAGTCTGCTAATGTTCACTGAAAGTTTCTGTTGTCCATTCTCTCTTTTCACACCTTCAGGAACCCCTAGATATGTGTGTTTGGTTACTTGCTAGCATCCTATAAATCTTGAACACTATTTTCAGTTTTTCTAATTTCTTTTTCTGAGTTTTCTTCAATATCTTAATCTCTTGGCAGAGTTTTTCATTGATATTGTATATAGATGTCTTTGTCTCATTAATTTGTTTCTGCCTGTTTTTGAGTAATTTGGCAAACTTTTTTCTCCATTCATTTTCAGGTATTTCGTCAATCTCTTAATCCTCACATCCTAATATTGAATAGTTGTATTCCTTTTGGGCAGTCATGATGTATTCCTTGTTTTTTCCTTATGTTTTGTAAGATTTTTTTATTTCAAAGACAGATTTATAGAGAGTAAGAGAAAGAGATCATCTACCCACTGTTTCACTCCCCAAATAACTGCAACGGCCAGAGATAAATTGATCGAAGGCCAGAAGCCAGGAGCTTCTTTTGAGTCTCCCACTTGGACAGGGGCCCAAGGGCTTGAGCCATCCTCTGCTGCCTTCCTAGTCCGTAAGCAGGGAGCTGGATTGGAAGTAGACCAGCCAGGATTACTACCAGTGCTCATATGGGATGCTGATGCTGTAAGGTGAATAATGATCAGCCTCTTGAGCCACTGCACTTGCCCCATCTTCTCGCTTTTGTTATATTTCTACGTTTATTTTTAGGCATTTGTGGAAACACTTGCTGGTTGTTTCATTTGATTTTTTTTCTATCTTTGAACTATGCCTCTGTTAATCCTTGGGTGAATATTCAGGGGTGCGTGCTGGGTGGGGCTGGAGTACTCTGGTCAGTGCTTGAGTATAGGGTAAGAGTCCAGAGTAACACCCAAGTTGGGTGTTGTAGATCTCTCTTATCAGCAGAGGGAAGGGAATGTCTGCTAGCATAACCATAGCCTCATGTCTTTTTTTTCAAGGTGATCAAAACCCAGGGTTAGCACACTGGCTAAAACGCCCACCCATACCTGCACATGAACCACACAAAGGATCTCTGTGATCCTCTATGTGAGTACACAATCCTGCAGTAATCCACCTAGTTTAAACAGGGATCTTCAGCCTCTGATGTCAGACACATTGAATGCCCAAAGAACTACACACCATACCCTATTATGAAGTCACAGAATTCTCAGTCTTTGCATGCAAGACTCCCATAGTCACAGGGTCCTGGGGTTCCACTCCTGCTGTGTCCATAGAGAGTACAGAAGCATTTCCAGTGCCAGCTTCCTAAGAGTGCTCTGCCTTAGCAGTTTTTGCCCCAGAACCTATAGTATGGTAGGCAGATGTGTGTTTTTCACAGTCCTGGATGGTTGTGTGTGGCTCTCTGCCAAGCTACTATCCCAGACTCAAATCTATGCCTCAGATTAAATCAGCTCATCGTGCACATGTGCAGCTTGGGTCAACCTCTGCTGCTTTTCCAAGCCATAATCAAGGAGCTGGATCAGAAGTGGAGCAGTTACCTCAAACCGGTCCCTGTATGGGATGCCAGCACTTGTGTTCTGAGGATTAGCCAACTGAATCATCTTGCTGTTTCCAGTGTTTACTGATCTTAGGATGGTACTATTTCACAGTTGGTCTGGGCACCACTGGGGGAGAAAGCAGTGGACTCTTCCTCCAGGGTAATTTCTTTATTCCCTGTCCCCACTTTGACCCCAGTCTAAACCAAAAGAGTGTGGTCCGCAAGCGTCCACATCAGACAACATCTCCAGTGACACTGGTTTTTGTGGTGATGTGTGCTAAAGTTGCTGCAAAATATGTTGACTTCAAATAATCTCCCTACTGCCATTGGACCCTCTGAGAGGAAATGGGAAGAAGAAATGTGCTCCTCTCTCACTATGATCTGTAGGTACCTTGTCCCCTACTCTAGCTCCAGTCTGCTAGATTCAAACCAGACAGTATTGTAATGACTGGCTTTGATGGTCTGTTCACACTTTCTTCACTAGAAACTACCATCTCCTCCAGTTCCTGGCCAGTGGTGTTCTCACTACTACATGACTGAACTGTCCATGCTTCTCTATGGTCTGTTTCTGCTATTTGTAAAGTTGCCACTGGAACCGTCTCTCTAATCCCCATGGGAATGCACTTCTGCTTTTCTTTCCATTTGATACTTCTGATCAAAATCAGTATGTCTTTTCTATAGTCACCCATTTTGGAATTCCTCATTATATAACTTCTAAGAGCATTGGTTTTCTCATATTTAAAATGTTTATTGTGTGTAGCCTTTGACGTCTGTGATCCATTAGCCTAGTAGTAGCCAGTTGATGTTCTGAAAGAATTAATTCTGAAAGAATTAAACACCTTGATCCAAGAAAAAGGAAAAAAGAAATGAAGCAAAATACTGTTCTAGTTTTCCAGATTGGCCCTGTATTGTGGTACTCTTTCAACACTTAGCCAGGCTTTTTATCCCCATAACTCTGCCTTAGCTCTCTCTTCATATTATAAACTGAAGGTCAGTTAGAGGTGAATGAATACTCAAGTCTTTTCTGAGCATGTGTCTAGCCCTGTGTATTTTTATGGACTTCTTGTGTCCCCAGTGTACACAGGAGCTTTGAAATACCCTTATTTACTCACATCTCGTTCCCAGCCTCTTCATACTTGTACCTTTTGGTCTGGTTATTGCTTGCTCCATCCAACTTTGTATCCTACCAGTTGCACTGGTCAATACTTTTGCCTTCTATATTCTTTCAGTGAAAGTCACTGGAGCTAGGGGAATGTTCCAAATCGCATGAAACAGAAACAAGCCCTTGCTTCTATCCTTGACAAAGCTGCCAAATGGGTCTAAAGACCCAACAGCATCTTTGAGAATAAGGTCTGTATTGTGCTCTTTGGTAGGAGTGCAAGCTGCCATCATTATGAGTAAGACAGAAGATAGGCAAGCTGTTTTAAAGTATTGTAGCACATTCATAGTGCTGCAGTTTCTTTTGTCATTAATCTTGTCCTTGTTGTTGCTAAATCTTTCCACACTGCTACACTATAAACTAAGCTAAAACTAAATACAGGTTTTAGAATAGCAGTCCATGTTTTAACAATAGAGGTAGCATCTTTTTGAGTTTTTTTTCCCTGTATCTGCAAAAGTTACTATAACTTTAATAAATTCAATGAATTAGAAGGAAGAGTGAAAGGATGAGGGACAATGTTAATATTGCAAGAAAGAAGTCATCACCCTATCTGATTCTAAATGCAAGTAAATATTTAACTATTTTACAATGCTTACCATCTGCTTTTTACTTTTTAGGTGATATTATAAAAGCAGTAACTGAACTGGATAGAGTACATATCGTCGGTATCTTGGATATCTGTAATTTGGGTAACAATAAAGTGGAAATCTATTTGCAGAAAATTTATACTCCAGAGGATACATCTTAAGAATTGGCAAATGAAATTATTGCATATATAAAGAGAATTCTGCTTTAAAGATATTGTCATCTTATTGTTAATTTCAGTAGCAAAAATAGAATGTGATGTCTAAATTCATTTGGTTTTATGTTTATTTGTACTTATATTTAATCACATTATTTTAGATTCACTATTGAAAAAGTTCATTAAAGCAGCTTATTTGTGTCATGAGAATTTACCCTCTATATATTACCACTGCCTTGAATTGTAATAATTTTCATTTGATGTTCCATTTGTGAAGTGTACTTTTATCCTGAGCCTCAACATAAGACATCCTGTCTTAGAAGAGTAACTTTTCATGGAGATTCAGTATCATTCCAGTTTTATTCACGCATAATGGGAAATTTTGAATTGTCGACTTGAAGACTAAATTTTCCTAAGTTGGCCAGTCTGCATTTCTCACAACCAAGGTAGTTCTCATCATTTTCAAAAGCATATATGGGTTGTGTGTTAATCTGGTCAGCTGTAAAATGAACGTGGTGAATTAAATTGCCTTAAGGTCACTTCGTTCCATATTGTGACATTATAGACTTGAGATTTTCAAATATTTTGATTGATATGTTATGCTAAAACCAGAGGTTAATATGTGTCTCTAGCTGTATTCATTTGTAGTTTCAGTATATCTAATGTGAATTTAAAGATGTGAAAATTTCTTTTATATTAACACTTTAAATGCTCATATTAAATGTAGAAAACAGAAGCTAAGGGAATAATTTTTACTCTGGTTATCCATTGTACTTCATTTAAAATGTAAATAGCCACTCCATATTTGCAAAACCCTGTGGTTGATATCTGTGTGGCTTCTTAGATGAGCCAAATTGGCCATTAAATGAGCTTAATGATTATTCTGTATCAAGATTAATCTGATTATATTTAAGCCATTAACATATGGAATTTCTCTGTAGTCCTGTTGTTCTGAGATTTCATATGATGCATATTTAAAATGTGGTTTCACAGCCTGCAAACCTAAAGACATACTGCAGTTTCTTTATAAATGTGTTTGTTTCATTCTTTGTAACTGTATTTAAGCTTTTATTGAAATAGTGGATTCTTCTTGTTACAGTTTTTGGGTGTTATTAAAGAAGTTAAAATGCAATAATGTTTTTGGTTTCCAGTCTCATTTTGAATATATTTGAGGTATGCTGTAATTCCTCCACATTTGGGGACTAGGTATGTACTTGCTGAATGAGCCAGGATAATTCTTCCAATATGGGTTTGAAGACTGTTATTTATGAAATGAAATGTGAGTTTTGTGTTGAGCTATTATAACTTTTTAAAAGGCAATTTAATTTTAGTGCAACATAAATTTTGTAAGAAGAAAAAGCCTTGAATCGCTTAAATAGAAAACTTTCTGACAAAATTTCCAAACTATACACAGGTATAGTTTTTGTTTTTACATTACATGGAAAATAAGAGCTACCTTAAAATTTTAGTTTTACAAACAACTTCCCTAACTATTTTATGTTCTTGTAACCTTTTTTTTTCTGTCTATATCTGGAGTTAAGCATCTGTGCCCATCGTTTCTGGGTGTTGAAAAACTGGGTAAGCAAAGTAACAAACCACCAGAAAAATCTATCTTCAAATGATAATATATATTCATTAATTGCAAAGCAACAAAATACACTACTATGATACAACTTCACAGTAACAGAGCATTAGTAATATATGAACAATGTCATTTCTCAAAGCATCACACTCTCTCAATGAAGCCTTTCATTCTGGGTGGTGCTTTGGATGGACCACCAGAATCTTTTGAAGACTGATAAAGGATGAATGGAACCACATGCTCCATCTTTCGTTCTGATTGGCTTGTCAGAACTACCTTGTGTTTATTTTACTCATATCAAGTATTTTTAAGAAATTTGAAATTCTTACTTGGTGATACAATGTTATTTTATATAAACCATAAGCTCTACTTTTCATTTTTCTAAATTCATGTATATGACTTGTAATTGATCTGCTTGCTGTTTCATTGGTGAACTTTCAGGTACCATTACTTTCCTTTGCTAAGCATTATTATCCAAAATTCCTTAGTAAATGGCTGGAAGATGGGATATACGTTAACCAATCTTGCTTGTTGAAGTAATCAGCTAATTTCAGTAAATAAATTCAAAATGTTTCTTGAAGATTCATTTATTTTTATTGGAAAGGTAGATATACAGAGAGGAGGAAAGACAGAGAGGAAGATCTTCTGTCTGATGATTCACTCCCCAAATGACCACAATGGCCTGAGCTGAGCCGATCCGAAGCCAGGAGCCCAGGGCTTCTTCCGGATCTCCTACACACATGCAGGGTCCCAAAGCTTTGGGCTGTCCTTGACCTCTTTCCCAGGCCACAAGCAGGGAGCTGGATGGGAAGTGGGGCTGCGGGATTAGAATTGGTGCCCATATGGGATCCAGGAGCATTCAAGGTGAGGACTTTAGCTGCTAGGCTGTTGCGCCAGGCCCTAAAATGTTTTAAAACTATATAAAGATATTTGAAAATTAAATGACATTTTCAGTTATTTGAGACTTGTACTTTGGGGCTTGTTTTTTTTTTTTAAGATTTATTTATTTATTTGAAAGACAGAGTTTCGTAGAGATTTTCCATCCACTGATTGATTTTCAAAATGGCTGCAACAGCTGATCCTGGGCCAGGCACAATCTGGGAACCAGAAGCTTCATCCAGGCCTCTCATGTGGGTGGCAGGAGCCCAACCACTTGGATTATCTACCACTGTTTTCCCAGGTCATTAGCAGGCAGCTGGATCAGAAGTGTAGCAGCGGACGTGAATGGGCGCTTACATAGAATGCCAGCATTGCTAGCAGCAACTTAAGCTGCTGTGTCATAAAGGTCGGCCCCAAGATTTTGAGTTGGCGCCAAGTTTCCAAAATGGAAATTCTAGATACTAAAAACATTTTTTCCAGATCACACCACCAGCTATATTATTCCTCATTCTTATACTGTTTTAACTCTAAGTTTTTGCTTCCCTTTGTGTTAAACAGCAACAACAACAACAAAAAATCCATAATTTTTGGAATGCACCAGTTTAAAGTTAGTAACAGTTCTGTTCCTAAATTCCCCCTTAGGGAAAGCCACTTAAACTTCTTGGTCCTTGTTTTGTTATTAATAAGATTGGCATAATAATGATCTTACCCTTGTATATTGCTGTTTTGATCTATTGGTATATATTAAAGCACTGAAAGTGTCTGAGTTCTGTTCATGTATTTCATGAAAAAGTGATTCTGTATGAGGAACATGTTAAAGTTATCAAACCATTCCTAGCCATATTGATTATAATTAGTGACTCACTGTAATTCCTCCCCCAAATTTGTTACTCTACGTTATTTTGCTGTCAGTAATCCTCCTAGTTTGTTGCCTGCTTAAGAGAGACAAATGGACAGAGACCTGATCACTAGCTCACTCCCCAAATTCCCACAACTGGGACTGACAGAGGACTTCAGGTCTCCCATGTGGAAGTCAGGGACCCAACTATTTAGAACTGTCAGCTCCTGCCTCCTGCTTTAGCAGAAAGCTATGACTTGTACCATGACTCAGCCATGACTTGTACCCAGATACTATCTTAACTGCTACACACTCTCTAACTATGCCTTTGAAATAAAAAAAAAAAAAAAGAAATCTTAAAAAAAAAAAAACTTCACAAAATTTTTTTAGAGAATAAAAACTTAACGAATAAAGGCTGATGTGGCTAGACTACACAAAGTAGGATTGAAAAGGAGGGAGGCAAATATATAGGCCCTTGCAGACTATACAGAATCTTATAGGCCATGATAAGAATGTTATCATGAAGACTAAGTGGAAGACAGGGCAGGAGTAAGCCAACAAGAGAGAATATCTTGCATCTACTGCTCATGTGACTGCAATGAGCAGGGTTTGCCCAGTTGTAGCCAGGAACTTCATGTAGGTCTCTCACGTGGGTACACGGGTCCAAGCACTTGGGCCACCTTCCTCTACTTTCCCAAGCACTCAGAAGTGAACTGGGTGAGAAGTGAAGCAGGCAGGACATGAAACCGGCACCAATGGGATGCTGGCACCATAGCGCCAGCCCTGAAATTGGTTATTTTTATGCAATTGTAATTTTTATAGATGTCTAGCCATATCTGGAAGAGAGCTTGTAGAGAAATCCCACTATGAACTCCTTTACTGTGAAATCAAGAAAATGACCCAGACAGGGTTTTATTTTCTCAAGGATATCATCCTAGTTGTTGTCAAATTGCCACTTGTGGAAACGTGGTTTGTAAAATACTTCCTAAATGTTCAGAGCATGACCCAAAATACAAGTAAACACCAAGCGTTTCCAGGTTGGAAGTTGACGTGCAGTAAGACTGAAATGAGAGCAATTGCTCTGTCAGCAACAAAACTAGAGGCAGTTACTATTCCTCATGGACAAGTGAAATATTCTTTTAAATAAAATAAATCTTAAGAAAAACTTTAGAAAGGGTGAATAAACATGTAGAGCACTTACTTACTCATCAGCAAATAAAGAGTTAAAAGGAAAATTTGGGGTAGGCTTTTGCCTTAAAGGTTAATGTACTGCCTGAGATGTTTGTACTCTTGGAGTGCCCAGCTTCAAGTCCCAGTTCCCTTCCTGCTTGTAGTTTCCTGCTACCATACCCACTGAGAGGCTGCTGCAAGGACAGAAATATCAGGTTCCTACTCCCCACCAGGGACACCTGGATTGAGCTCCAGCTTTGGCCTGACCCAAAGCTCACTCTTCTCTCTCTGTCTTCCTCTTTCTCTCTCATAAATGCAATTAATTAATTATTAAAATTGAGTAAAACTGCATCTATTAGTATTATTGTAGGACTAATTTTTACTCAGTTTCAATTTTTTTAAAAGCAACTTATAGTGATCACCAGTTATGACTCTCAGAAAGCATAAAAGGAAAATATTGAAGTACATATATACAAGTCATATAATGTTGTAACCATAAAAGCTCATGCACCTTGCCCTTCAGAGCAATTTGGTGCAATAGTT